AAGCAGGGATTATTTAAATCCCCGCTTCATTGACTATGTTGAGTAAACTACTTTACATGGCTCCGTTGACGGAGCCATGTAGTCTAGACACACCCTCTCAGGACACCCAGAAGGGCGAAATTGGAAGAGAAGACGTGTGATGGGGAGTATTCAACGTCTGTGGCTCCTTGCTGAGGGAGTCTGTGATTCTACAAGGCCCCACTCGAAGAAGCAGTGAAGTCAGAAGAAAAGAGCAGTGAAGGTAGGTCCTCCAGACTTCCTATGAAAAAATCTCCAGGGTGGACATTTTGAAAACCCTGATCCTCCAAGCAGTTAGCAGCAGGCAAGAAGGGCCCTGCTGGCTCATATAAAAGTTGCTGCCTGGCCTTAGCCATTCAGTTCCTGGGTGAAATCAGAGGAACGAAAAAGAGCATATGCTTCTGGCCAAAGGAGCCCAGAAAGTAATAAGAGTTTTTATGGCTGACTACCCTACATAGAATCACAGAATGCCTGTCTGCGCTAGAGCCCATCTGTGAAAACCACATTCACTTCTGAGGGAGGGGTCACGGCAGCAGTGGTAAATAGGAGGCTCCAGGCTTGACCCTGAGGAGAGCTGCTAGAGGAAAATCTTCTAACACTTGTGCCTATGATAGGGGTACACCTGATTGGAACACCTGATCAACAAGGCCTCAAAGAAGAACTCTTCTCTCGTTTGTAAATGAGGACAAGGAACACAGAACAATTTTCACTCATGAACTAACTGTTCCTTGATTTACTCTGCATCCATACTTGAAGCTAGACATATAGTTGAACTCGCATGGACAGCAAGGAGGATGGGATGGGCTAGTCACCCTGTGTAGGTATCTACCACGTCCAAGTAAAACTTGCCCATTGCTTCTTGTCCTATCCTGAGTCGTTAAGGAGAATATTGTTTCTCCCTCCTCCTTGAAAAACCCCTTTAGGTACTTGAAAGCTGTCATGTCCCCTCTCAGTCTTCTCTTTTCCAGACTAAACAAATCCAGTTCTTTCAGTTTTCCCTCATAGCTCATGGTTTCTAGAACTCCATCATAGGTCATATTTTCTTTGGACCGTCTCCAATTTCTCCACATCTTTCCTGAGTGTGGTGCCCAGAATCAGACACAACACTCCAACTAAGGCCTAATTAGCGCAGAGGAGAGCGGAAGAATGATTTCTCCTGTCTCATTCACAACACACCTGTTAATGCAGCTCAGAACAATGCTTGTTGCTTGTTTGTTTTTGCGAAAGTGTCACAGTGTTGACTCCTATTTAGCTTGCGGTCCATTATAACCCCTGCCGACAAAGGGCTTTGATGTCGGCAGGGAAGCGTCCAGACTAGCGCGCTGAGCCGACAAACAGCTGATAAGCTGTTTGTCGGCTTAGCGCAGCAGCCATGTAAATGTAAATGAAGCCGTGATCATTTAAATCGCGGCTTCATTTGCCTTTGCCAAAACAACAAATCTACATGGCTCCATCGACGGAGCCATGTAGTTTAGACGTACCCTTTCAGTCTTCCTTCATAGGTCATGTTCTCTAGATCTTTAATAATTCTTGTTGCTCTTCTTTGGACCTTCTCCAATTTCTCCACATCTGAAGTTGCAGAAGGAAAAGAACTTAAGGATGATGGCCCTGATGTAGGGCTGGTGATAAAGAGCTAGGTAGGAAGAGACTCAGGGAAGTATCAGCAAAGTATTGAAGCAAGCAATATCTGGATGCTGTATATATGGCCCCTGGGTTGGAACTGACCCAGAGTACTGTGCTGGCCTGCATTCCCCTATCAGAGTCCTGCACTTGGGATGGAAGAATCCCAAGCATTGTTACAAGCTGGGGACCAACTGTCTAGATAGCAGTTCAGCAGAAAAGGACCCGGGGGTTACAGTGAACGAGAAGCTGGATATGAGTCAACAGAGTGCTCTTGTAGCCAAGAAGGCTAATGGCATGTTAGAGTGCATTAGGAGGAGCATTGCTAGCAGATCTAGAGATGTGATTATTCCCCTTTATTAATCACTAGAGAGACCACATCTGGAGTAATGCATCCAATTCTGGGGCCCCCACTACAGAAAGGATGTGGACACATTGGAAAGGGTCCAGCGGAGGGCAACCAAAATGATTAGGGGACTGGAGCACTTGATCTATGAGGAAAGGCTGAGAGATTTGGGCTTATTTCGTCTGCAGAAGAGAAGAGTGAAGGGGGATTTGATAGCAGCCTTCAACTTCCTGAACGGAAATTCCAAAGAGCATGGAGAAAGGCTGCTCTCAGTAGTGACGGATGGCAGAACAAGGAGCAATGGGCTCAAGTTACAGTGAGGGAGGTCTAGGTTGGATATTAGAAAAAAACTCTTTCATTAGGAGGGTGGTGAAGTACTGGAATGGGTTACCTAGGAAAGTGGTGTAATCTCTGTTCCTTGAGGTTTTTAAGTCTCATCTTGACCAAGCCCTGGCTGGGATGATTTAGTTGAGATTGGTCCTGTCTTGGGCAGTGGGCTGGACTCAATGACCTCCTGAGGTCTGTTCCCTATGATTCTATGATTCTATTCTATGATTCTATGAAAAGGGCTGAATTTAAATGGCCAAGAACCAGTGCTGAAGACTCTAGAGAGGACAAAGAAACTCTTAATTTATTGGATTCTTTAATATCCTAGAAGTGGTTCATTTGGACTTTGTGACTATGTCTACACTTCAGTCTAAATTCAAAATAAGATACGCAAATTATTGTGGCTTGTTAAGATGTGGGGCAGCTATTTTGGGAGACCTCTGGTATCCCGAAACAACTGCTGTGAAGACATACCTTGTGACTTAGCCAAAGACTCCCTTCCCTCCCACCCATGCACAGTTAGCCTGAAGGACATTTCAGGAATCAAAAAAGGTCAGGAGTTCCACGTCCAGCCAAGAGAAGGCACTCAGGAGACTAGTGCCTCCTTCACTGGGAAGCACCAAATGGGACTCTGAGGTTATGTCTAGACAACAGGGCTCCGTTGACGGAGCCATGTAGATGAGTTTACTAGACATAGAAAACTGAAGCAGCAATTTAAATAATCACCGCTTCATTTATATCACAATGGCCGCCGCGCTGTGCCGATCAGCTGTTTGGCGTCACAGCGGGGCAGTCTGGACGCTCCATGGTTGACAAGGGAAGCCTTTGTCGACCGCTCAGGTAAACCTCATTTCATGTGGCATACCTGAGAGGTCGATACCTGAGAGCCTTCCCTTGTCTACCACAGCGCGTCCAGACTGCACCTCTGTGATGCCAAACAGCTGATTGGCACAGTGCAGTGGCCATTGTGATGTAAATGAAGCGGTGATTATTTAAATTGCCACTTCATTTTCCTATGTCTAGTAAACTCATTTACATGGCTCTGTCAATGGAGCCATGTAGTCTATGCATACCCTGAAAGAACAATCAGAGACATGAGAGACCCATGCGAGGATGATAGTCTCAAGAGACAAATTTTGTACCCCCTTCTCTTATTTATTCTTGGATCTGGACTTTTAATACTCCAGTCATCTGAAGTAGTGGGTTTTGCCCACGAAAGCTCATGATACCATCTACATATTTTATTAGTCTTTAAGGTGCTACTAGACTACTTGTTGTTTTTCAAGGGACAATGGCAAACAAGATTTTAAGAAGCAGAGAGTGGCCATTGGTGCCAAAAACTAACAAAAGACTAAGGATAAAAATGGAGGGGAGGTCCTGGCAGATGGCCAGAAAAAGTCATTTGGGACCTCAGTGACAGCAGTTTCAGTTGAATAGGGATGGCAGTAGACAGAGAACATTTGGTGGCATAATTCTCATTAAGGCTCACTAGTTCAGTTATGTCTTTGTCAGATAGCTGGAAAGTGTCTTGCCTCCAGGCTTGCTGACTAGTTGAATTTCTATGGTAGAGAGAAACAGGGTGCGTAATAAGCAAAATATATGATTAAAATAATTGTTAAAATGAGAATTTTCTTCATTCATTTTATACTTACATGAGCTTTTAGAAAGGAGAGCAGCTATCTTCTTGTTGGCAGGTTTTTTTGCAGCTCTGGCAGGATGGCTGAGGGAGAGAGTAAGCCAGACAAATGACACATTAATATTTTTCTTACATAATCTCTTTTCTACCCTCAGAACCAGAGTTTACTGAGGATGTTGTAACTCTTTATTTGTTATGTATGTCTCTCTATTTTGGTTCTGTCCTGATTGGCAGGGGAGTCTGACTTCTCAATCTTGCTCACTGATGAAGTCTTGACAGGGGAAAGGGTAGGAATATGAGTTGTCAGAAATGGTGTGTAAGGGAAAAGTTGTAGATTAGTTTATATAAATGTTCCTCCACTGATCATTCATGATGAACACCAAATATTTTCAGTGTGACTGCCAGGGTTTTTTCTTTTCTATTCTGTCATTTACAGCTGAGAACTCCTTTCTTCTATTTCCAGCCCACATGCCACTGCTGCATTCCCCCTCTCCTCCCCTTTTGAATTGTTTCTAGTTTATACAGATTATGGGCTTGATTCTCAAAGAGTTACTAGGTTGCTAATTTGGACTCAGCTTTTATGCATAATTTAAAAAAATGAGCAAACACCAGGTGGGATAATTGGTACAGAGACTTCCAGGACTTTTAGGTCTCACAATAGGAAGCTAAGTGAGATTATCTGGTACGTGAAGCACAGTGGTGAAGAGAGGTCTCAAAGATGTCACTGAGAAAGAGAGCGCTGTGGTCTACTAAAAGGGTCCATAAAGTAAAGGGAGTTTATGAGGCTGATAAACAGTCATGTAGAAGGAAAGGAAACTGCAGCATTCTTGAAAGGTCATGCGGAGAAGATAAAAATCTGAGCCCCTTTAAGGATTACGTAGAAGAAATGCCATTGGAGAGATATTGGTGTTTCACCCAGATGAATTCTGATAAGTGAAGATGAAGGCCTTCTTGAAGTTTATGTAACAGGAAGATAGAGCTAACAATCTAACATGGTCACAGATGAAGTCATTACCTCCTTGAGAACTGGGAATAGAGAAAAAAGCAGATGAGGATGAGCAGAGATCTTTATAGGCACCCAAAATAAATTTGGGTTGGGGACAAATGGCTAAAAGTTCAAGCAAGAGCTTCTATTTTCTGAACTAATTCATTCACCATTTCATTCACCCCTTTGTTAAACCATACCTCCACACATAGACTACTGTCATCAGAGCAAATGAACTTTTCTAACTAAAATATAATTAAAAGGGCTTAGATATTAAAATATGAACTGTGGATAGTGACTAATGCATTAATAGTTAGCAATGGAACAGAATTAAGTAAAATAGCAATTAGACATAACATGAGAGAAGTGAATTGATAACATTCCCATCTCCAAGTACAAAATCAATTTAGAAATATGTTCCAGAATAAAAAAATGTTTTCATTTGCTACAGCACTCTTTACTTGGGGCTTCTTTTGTTTTCTTTTTATAAAGATGTGCCTTCTGTGATGATGCCGAGGTCCTGACAGGCAATGTTTGGAAATCTGTGGCCCTTGTCATTGTATCTTCTGGTATCATATTCATTTTTACCTTCCTGATATAGGTCATGTGTAAGCTAGGAAAATTGGTGTGACTTGTACCATGTGTTTGCAGGTAGGTATTATTTTAACATGGGTTAAAATCCTAAAGTAGATAAGGCAAGTATAGTTTTATAAGGTTTAAACTAGTAAAGCTCATCCCTACTGTGGAGACCAGAGTTTACCTGGACCATGCAACATGTTATAACTATATCTTGCCTTATCCAGACTAGAATTATTACACTTATTAAAATAGCACATTGGATTTATTAATATGCTATATGATATATAAACACATACCTTTTTCCCCTAGAGATGACAAGTGTGAAATGCAGCTGCTCAATCCAGTGTGTCAGGGCCTATCTACACTTAAAATGCTACAGCAATACAGTTATGCTGCTTCAGCTATGCTACAGTAGTGCCTACACCGATGGAAGGGATTCTCTTGCCGGCTCAGGTAACCTGCTTTCTTGAAAGACAGTAGAGAGGTCTATAAAATTCTTCCATCAATCTAATGCTCTCCACACCAGGAACTAGGTCAGTTTAAGAACACCACTCCAGAATATGGATTTTTTCACCCCCCATCTGATGTAGTTAAACTGAACTAATTTTCTAGACCTCAGTGAAAGGGCTTTGGATGAGGACTTAGAAAATTGCCTTTATTCTGTAGGGAGTACTTGCACAGTCAGGTTATAGCTATTAAGAGTCTATGGCCTGCAGTAATGATCACTGTCCTCTGAACTCCACACCTTCACCTTTGCATGTAATTTTTGACCAATGATTATGCATAGATCACAAAATCATTGGTCATGCTCCTGCCAGCCTGACAACAACCTTCACTCCAGAATCCACATGAACTAAGCTATATGTCATGAAAGAGGTTTCAAAAGAACCCTATATGTTGCTGTCACTTAGTATTTGTATTACCATAGCACCTAAAGGCCCTAATCATGGAGTAGGTCCTCATTGTACAAGGGGCTTGTGCAAACAGAACACAAAGATGATACCTGATGCAGAGGTTACAGTCTATGGGTTATGTCTACACTACAGCATTATTTCGAAATAGCTTATTTAGAAATAACGCGTCTAGACACAAAATGCATTTTGAAATAGCATTTTGCTATTTCAAAATAGCGCATCCACACTGGTAGGACGCTGAATCACATTTAAGGCTGGCTGGAACTGGTTCTGGAAGGGCATCAGGTCAAGAGTTACCTTGTGTGGCTGCTGCTTGAGGCAATCTGAGACCCGTGCTTAAAGGTCTCCCTGGTGTACCCCACTGGGGGCTTGTGCCTCATTCCTTCTTCAAATCCTTCCACTTACCCCTCCCTAACTCCCCTTCCTGCTGTACAATGAAAGACGCGTGTTCATTACAACAAAGTCTCTTTATTGAACAAAACTGGGGTGGGAGGAGAATGAAACTGAGGTGAGACTGGGGAAAGAAGGTGGGAGAGGGGAGGAGGGAAGGTGGGAGAGGAGAGGGGGAAACCTGGGAGGAGGAAGCTGGCAGGGGGAGGCAAGGGGTGGAAGGGGGAGGAGAAGCTCAGGACTCAGGGCTGGGGGTCTCGTTGGCCCAACTATTTCCCAGCACCGTGGCTGTGGGGTCCTCGGCATCCCTGGGGGTGTGGTGAGGGTGGGGAGGAAGAAGCGGGAGGGGGAGAAGGAGTGGGAGGAGGAGTGGTAGCTGGGGAGGCAGCAGGGGCTAGAACAGCAGGAGGCAGCAAGCTCGGCCCCAGGGTCGATGACCACCTGGGGGACACAGACCATCCTGCCCCCCAGGATGTGGTCCACGGCATCAAAATAGGGGCAGGGATCTGGGTCTGCCCCTGGTTGGGAGCTTCCCCCTGTGGCCCTAACATACGCCTGCTGCAGCTCCTTTATTTTCATGCGAACCTGCTCCTGGGTTTACATGTGGCTTTTGGTGGCCAGTCTGGCAGCTATCTGCCTGTAGACGGTTGTGTTTCTCCATTTAGAGTGCAGATCATGGACATTGGAGGCATCCCCCCAAACCTGAATTAGGTCCCTGATCTCCACACTGGACCAGGCAGGGGCCCATCTTTTCCAGCCCCTGGCAGGCTCCTGGAAGCTGGCAAACTGGTCCTGAGGAGCAGTGGAGGGCTGGCTGGCATTGGCTGGCTGGCTCATGGTGGGACCACTGGGTCAGGTGCAGCAACTGCTGGCTCTGGGCTGGCAGTCTTGGAGCTGGCACAGGCACTGTGGCCACAGTCTACCCCTTTAAGGGCTCCAGGGAGGGGCGGAGGGAGAGGAGTTTTCTTGGTTGTGCCCAGAGTGGCCACCAGGTCACCCTGGGAAGGGCTGGAGGCCCCCTATTTCAAAATAAGTGTCTACACAGTGCTTATTTTGAAATAGCAATTTCAAAATTGGTGCTATTACTTGTGGAATGAGGTTTACCAATTTTGAAATAAGCCCCCTGCTATTTTGATTTTAATTTCAAACTAGCAGTTTGGCTGTGTAGATGCTGGTAAAGTTATTTTGAAATAACGGCTGTTATTTTGAAATAACTTTGCTGTGTACACATACCCTAAAAGATTAGAGAAAACAGACAGATATGGGCAGATGGGCAAGCATAAGGAAACAATGGTATCGTAATAGTCAGTGAGATACACTATAGCTTGAACACCAACAGCCTAAATATTGTCACATTTTTACAAGAGTCACAACAAAGGAGTTTTAAGGAGAAGTTAAAAAGAACTTTGAGATAACTTTGCAGAAGTTTACAGGGAACACTTCTGAACCAAGAGGAGCAGCATATCCGAAAGCATAAAGCTTCTTGTTTAAATATTCAAGAAATAGGCAATGGAGCCTGACATAATGGGCTGATTGGAGGCAGGATATTTCAAGTGAATGAAAGGTGATAGGAGGGTGTGGACAAGCAGTGAAAGTGCCTCAAAAGCGAAGTGATGCAGCTGATATTTGATGTGATAGAGAAGGGGGAATGAAAGAAAGGATGCAAAGAGAGAGGTGACGTGACTGAAGTAATGGACTTGGAGAATGAGTTTTACAGCAGCATTATAAATAGATATGAGAGGGACAAGTTTGCATTTCTCAAGGCCAGAGGAAAGGGTGTTGCACAAATTGAGGCGAGAAATAAGATCCTTGATGAGAGTTTTAGCTGTGTGGCTGGGTACAAATAATTTTAGAGATGACATGCTGTCAGAATCTGCAAGATTTAGATTGTACCTAGAAAGAACTCTGAGTTGGCTATGGGCCTGAATGGCAAGCAAGAGTGGTGGTATCTTCTATTAGGAACAAGAAAGGGAGTGGGGAGTAGTTTGGAGAGGAGTAATGGAAGCACTATTTTTAGCATACTGAGCCTAAGCTGATGGCTAGAAATTCACAAACAGATGTCAGAGAGAGGGGGCCAAGATTTGAAAGAGATTTGGAGTAGCAAAGTGGATCTGAGTTGTCCAAATAGAGCTGGTAATTGACTTGTGTTTGATAGAACATTACCCAGAGTTAGATGTAAAAGGAGAAGAGAAGGGGACCAGTAACATAAACCTGTGGAACCATCATAGAAAGGGAGCATAGAAAGCATCCTCTGAAAACACTTGCCAAAGGAGTATTAATGAAAAGGTTGGAGACAAACAAAAAGAGGACAGTCATGGAAGCTGAGGGAGGGCAATATTTCAAGAAGACCAGGATTCACAGTGCTGAAGGTGGCTGACAAGTCAGGAAAGCTGAAGATGAATGACTGATTCTGAGTTTTGGTAAGGAAGAGCTCATTGGAAGTCATTAAGACTGCTTCCCACCCTGGAGAACAGAAACACGATAATTCATCTGTGATTTGGGCTTCTCCCTCACACTTGAAAGTGTGAAGTGGTGGAAAACAATTTAGGGATTCAAACAAAGTAATATTTTTCATTTCTAATGTGCATATCCCAAACAGTGGTTGCTACTTTTGAAGGTGGGTATCTGTCCAGTTGATAAAGGTGAATGGAAAAGTGAAGCAAAACCACCAATGTTTATAAAATATGAATGGAAGTTGCAAAGTTTTGTTCAAACCAGTCTAATCAATTGAATGGTGATGTAACAAGGTGAAAAGCCCTTTACCACCCTGTACATATTCGATCCAGGAACAGTGCATACTAACACATTTAGATTCCTGAGAATAATTATTTATAGAATTCTGCAGTTTAATGAAATGTGTAATTATGTGACAGGATGAATGCACATCTGCTCCGAGGTTATATTCCTCTCCAGTAGAAACTTTGTAGTGAAAATCAGTCCTAGTATTTGCTTCATCTCATAAAGAATCTCCTGTAGTTCAAGTGACAGATGGCCTTTAATTTTAGTTGAGAAAGTCCTGAGATGTTTCTTTGCTGATGAAGATCATGATCATGAAGTCTGTACAACTATGGAATCATTTATAGGTCCATAGCAATAACTGAAGACCCAGTGCAGGTCCAGGAACAGAGTTGTATCTAAAGAACATTTAACTCATCTTGGGGTCAGGGATCTTCCGTCTGTGCTAGGCAGGTATCCTGGCACAACTGAGAACAGCACGAGGGCAATTCTAAGTTGTGATAGTTGCCAACTACACCAAGGGGCCAATACAGCAGCCTGAGATTGCAAAAGATGGCAATACCCCTCACTTCCAACTTGGCTTTCTGTGCTGATGGGAGGCTTGAGTGATGTCACACCACTAGAAGATTGCCCCAGAATAGGTAGATCTGTGGTTAAACATTTCAGATTTGGTACAGTTTTGTGTTTTATCCAAGGCCGTTGACAGAGGGAGAAAAAGGGGCAACTGTCATGGGGCCTGGCAATTTTAAAAGGCCCAGGGCTTTGGAATACCATCACTGCTACCGGAGCAGCAGCAGTGGTGACCGGAGCCTCGAGTCCTTTAAGTCACTGCCGGAGCCCTGCACAGCACAATCTCAGCGGCACTGAGGGCTGGCTGAGGGAGATCCGGCAGAGTCCAAGTGGCATTGAGAGCTGGCTACCCCTACCCTGATCCTTCTGCCTGAGGCCCTGTCCCTTCTGGGAGGCCCAGAGCCAAGGCCCCACTTCCATTGCCTTGGCCCAGCAAAGTCTATGGCCAGCCATGGTTGCACTCCCATAGAATCTATACTCTTTTGATTGGCCTTTGCTGGGCAATTGTAAAGCAGCACTGCCTTTGCTCAAGGCAGTGACTAAATGACACATTTTAATCCTCTACGACTGTTATCCCGTGAAGGAGATGATATTTTTGGCCAAGATTTGAGAGTATTCTACTGTTCCCATTGACACTGCTTTTCTGATTTCTAGTAACTATTTTGTATTGCCAAGTGCCATATCAAAGTACCTTCATTTGGGCCATGTCACCTCAAGGCACAGTCATATCAGATGAGACATCGTGTGACTGATTATCAGTGCCTCTGGAAGAGAATGCCCAAATACAACGTAAGATTTCTGTCACTCAGGGAAAAGAAGGACCAATCGCTTAT